ACGAGTGCCGTTGAGGGACCTCTGCCGCATAAAAAATGAACAAGGTTCGCAACTAATTTTGTGATTCCCTTCCGTTTCTAGATCCTTTCGGAGAATGGGCAGTGACCTGTCCACCTATACCTTCTAGTCATAGGTATGAGCACAAGAGAGGGGCGCTTTAATACAAGATGCGCGTCATAATTCGAGCTAAAGTAAATGATCAGTCAGGAAAGTCAGAAGGTGATATCGAAGAAAGAGATTTCGTACATCCGAGGCTTTCAAGTCTCTCGTACAAGTCCTTGATTGTCATGTTGTCGACACTGCTGATATCGGCCATCAAGTATGCCACCTAATATAGTCAGCTTCGCACTGCTTAGACATGTCAATGCATAACGACATACATCACCTCTGCTATCAGTCATTTGCTTGTCAACATTGTGATCACCAAGAATCTCATTAACTGGAAGCCATCAGCAAAGCACACATTATTCCTGTTTCGTAGAAAGAAGCCTACCTTTTCGCAAAACACCCGGAACGTTCTGATGAATGAAGATGACCTATTCCAAAGAATTAGCCATTATTGAAAGTTGAAAACTTTGTTCCTGTACTCACTCGGGCATGGTTGGGTTCATCCATCGTCAGGGACCGCAGAGCAACCTCCGGCAGGTTTACGGCCCCCAGTGTTGTGCCCTCGTTAACATATCTCACCAAGGCTTCTGCCACCTCAACGCCAATCGCACGCTGTGCCTCCTCTGTGCTACCGCCAATATGTGGCGTGAGGATCAAATTCTTGAGACCCCTAAGATCCGTTGCCCAGTCATTGAGGCTTTGGTTGAAATAATCACCATTTCCGGCTGGCTCATTGGGATAGACATCCAGAGCTGCACCCGCCACTTTGCCGGACCGCATTGCATGGATCAGAGCAGGAATGTCCACGACACTTCCCCGACTGGCATTTATCAGATAACTGCCAGGCTTCATTTGCTCAAACTGGGGTTGTCCTATCATGTTCCGTGTCTCCGGGAGCTCAGGAACATGGCACGTGATGAAGTCCGACTCAGACAAAAGAATATCAAGGGTTGGTACTTGGCGAGCAGTACCCAGTGCCATCAGGTTCACTACGTCGTAGAAAATAACAGACATGCCCATAGCCTCTGCTAGAACCGACAGTTGAGCACCGATGTGACCATATCCAATTATGCCTAACAGGAACATTAGCCGACAGCAAATGATGGTAGAATCAAGAGAATACCAAGGGTCTTTCCGCGGATTTCCCAGCACTTGTTGCTCACTTTGTTCCATGTGCCGTTATGCATCTCATTGGAACGGTCACCCAGTTGACGGGCGAGAGCAATGATTTCAGCTATAACCAATTCTGCGACACTACGGGAATTGCTGAACGGTGAGTTGAAAACAGCAATTCCATGTTCAGCTGCATATTGCAGATCAACCTGGTTCGTCCCGATGCAGAAACAACCAATGACAATAAGATTGCGAGCTTCCTTTAGTACACGAGCGCTCAGCTTGGTCTTCGAGCGGATTCCAATCACATGTACATCTCTGTTCACGAGGGAGGCAAGTCAGACAGATACTAGAGCTGAAGCAGATACGATGATACTGACCGAATTTTCTCGATGAGTTGATCTTCCGGAAGGGAGGATTTAAGGAATTCCACCTGATAGCCCTGTTTGGTAAGGATGTCCCTACCCGTTTGGTTGACGTTTTCCAGGAGCAGGACCTTGATATCCTCCGTGGCAAATGGCTTCAAATGCTTTGCATTTGCTAGCGGTATCGTACGGCTTCCAAAAGCTGAGCCACCATGGCTGGAAGGAGCAGACTGGAAAGAAGCGGTAGGAGAGGTGGAGAAATTCAAGCTTTGTGAAGGGTTGAGATTCAATCCCTCTTGGACATTGATGTCCCTTGCAGATGCAGCCATTTGGTAAAGATTGGGTATAAGAAGATAGAGGGTGGAAGAGTATTCTGTTACGTTAGAAAATAGAAAATAGAGGGCAATCCAAAAAAATATAATTTGAGTGAA